CCCCCCGCCCCCGTTATCCTGGTACACATTGAAGTTTGAGAACCCATGGTCTAGAAGATTCATGACTAGTGATGGCTTAGTTCTACCCTGGTTTGGTTGCTCTTGTCTTGTGAGAGAGTTTTACTCTATGTACCCTCCCTGGTTTGGTTGCTCTTGTCTTGTGACGGAGTTTTATTCTATGTTCCCTTCCTGAGCTTGTAAAAACCTCTGCCAAGTCTAAAATACTTATTATATCAATGTTTATTCTATTACCCCCCAAACTTGAAAGATGAGATGCCAAGAACAGATAGGTTAATTTTAGATTAGCTCTTTACCTTTCAAATAAAAAGCTCAGCACAGGCTGGTAGTACAGTCTGGTTTATTGACACATTTGGTCTGAGTAACTCATCTCCGTTTCCTGATAGCCACGTAGAATATTAACAAGACTCCAACAATCAAGGTCCCAGAAAGGCCTGCCACCCACAGAGCTTTTGAATCTACTGGAGCACCTAGAAGATGGAAAGGTAGATTAATGTACGCAGAAACTAACCGAGTGAATTCTACATGCTGACAGAGACTGGAAGTCTTCTTCTATAGGAAGATGTTAGTCAATTTCTTTTGAAGAAAACATTGATCAGTAAGGGATAAGGAAGTAGGGGGTGAAGTAGCAGCATTGGTTTGACTGGTGATTCAGGTAGCCAGTTAGGTTTCCTCCCACTTACTTGAATATTTACGGAGCTTTTCTGAAGGGTCCTTCATGGCTTGGAGTAGAATCATGGGGCCCTTGCTAGAAACACTAGCAGTACTGTTGTGAAGATAGATACCAGAGTTTCTTCCTGTTGGAGAGATGAGAGCTAGTGATTTGTTAGAGTTTTATTTTTGTGTGCAAGGGGCAAGGATAGGGAATGCTATGATACAAAGCCAGGCCTCTTGCTACATAAAGTTCATTTCTATGCCTTAGAAGTGTCATTTTAGTGTGTTGATATAAACTTGAACAAGACTTTGTGTTCTAACACTGTTACCTCAGTTTCACCAGGATTTTGGCAAAGGGTTGAGAAACTATCCCTGGCTGGGCTCGGTGGCTCAGCCTGTAATCCCAGCATTTTGGGAACTTGCAGGTTTGAGACCAGCCCAGGAAACTTGGCAAGACCTCATCTCTACAATAAATGAAAAATTAGCTGGGTGTGGTAGCATGCGCCTGTGGTTCCAGCTACTTGGAAGGCTGAGGTGGAAGGATCACCGGAGCCCAGTGGGTCAAGGCTGTGGTGGCCGGGAGCATGCCACTGCACTTCAGTCTGGGCGACAGAGTGAGACTCCAACTCAAAAAAAAAAAAAACAACAACTATCCCCAAACTGTCATCCATTCCTAAGTAGAGCACTTTGACAGTAGGCATGTTTATAATTCAGAGACCCTTCCCTGTGATATAAAGGAAACTATTAGAACAGAGGGCAGAATTCTATTTCTATTTGTCAGTTACATGACCTTGATGGAGTTGATCTAAGGTGACTTAGTTCTTTAGAAGTAGGGATAACAAGCCGGGCTCGGTGGCTCAGCCTGTAATCCCGTGCCTTTGGGAGGCTGAGGTGAGTGGATTGCCTGAGCCCGCAGGTTCGAGACCCGCCTGGGCTATGAGACCTCATCTCTAAATAAAAAAAAAAAAAAAAATCAGCCGGGCGTGGTAGCGCATGCTTGTAATTCCGGCTACTCAGAAGGCTGAGGCGGAAGGATCGCCGGAGCCCAGCAGGTCGAGGCTGCAGTGGCCGGGAGCGACCACTGCACTCCAGTCTGGGTGACAGAGTGAGACTCCAACTCAAAGAAAAAAAAAAAAGAAGTAGGGATAACATACAACATTGGAGTCCATTGTTAAAACCCTTTGCATTCGGATGTAACCTCTCAGGGGACACAAAGGGGTTGCTGGTGATTATACAAGACAAACTTATGCAAGTGCACATTTTTCAAAAATGTATATTTCCTTGAAGTTTTCCATTCAAAAAACAATGCAAAACTTATGTCCCACTTGAAATTTGTCAAGCTTCTGACTAATCACTAGAGAAGTGGTTTTCAGGAATCACGAGTATGTCCTTCCACATCATCTATGAACACCAAACTGTATAATAAGTTACACATTAATGTTGGAGAATGAAAGAGACTATTGTCTGCTTGAATAGAAAATCAGTTGGAAGAAGTCAAACTACTTACTATTGTACAGCATGTATCAATGAACCTGCAGTACATGTCGGTGACTGTTTCACATGTTACCACATATTAGAAAATTTTGATTTGTTGTGAGTTTATAAATGTCCAAAATTCCAAAATTCCATCATAAGCCAAATATCACTACAGTAAAATAATTGGCTCCAGCCGGGCTCGGTGGCTCAGCCTATAATCCCGCGCCTTTGGGAGGCTGAGGTGAGTGGATTGCCTGAGCCCACGGGTTCGAGACCTGCCTG